AAGCAACCTAGACTATAGAGAGGAAGAGAGAGAGATAGGGAGAAGGGAAGAAGGGATGACGACACGACATCCTTAACAATGCATAAGCGAAGATTCCCGCGTGGCGAAAAGGACCATTCTGGTGTTGTTCCGGCGAGTTACTGGGCTCCTTAGAAACTTTTGGGTAAGTTTCCCACCAGCACTATTCCGTGTCGATGTGAAACACCTCCTAATTGTTATCGGATAAGAAACTTGTTCCGCGATAACAAGTGGAATGCCATACAGGATCGAGAGGACGTGAAAACATGAGAGGGAGGAGACGAAGGGATGGTATAAGGAAGCATATCACGGTTTATTCGAGCAGATTTGGTCTAGAAAGTAGCGACCAAGTATCTCACGGTACTTTGTTGAGGCATGTGGCGTAAGAGTAATTTCCACCCAACTGTAAACAATTATTAATAGCCGCCTATCGTAATTACAGAATTCGCTGCGTGCCCCGAGGAGTAATATTTCAATCAAACTTGATGGCTCGCCGAGCTTGCGTTGTTTAACAAGACGTGTCTTGGCAAATTCTCTAGGAGCAACGTATATTTTGAAGGTTTAGAAAAACTTTTTCCGATACATTACTTTCTAACTATTTTCGATTTTCCGTCTATCATTTAAAAGTATAAGAAACACATCGGTGGGCATTAACAATACAAAACAAATATTTTATACTAATATTTTATTCTATCGACGATACTGACCACCTGGATGTTAAAATACTTTTTTTTTATCGAGAATCAGGGGTGTTACACTTTTTTACGCGTCGCCGTATCATGAGAGAAGAAAAAACCGATACGGCGTGACGCAGTTTGGAGTAAAGGGGGGCAGCGAGGGAGAGGGTGATTCGTTTCGTAGGGCCGAGATGCTAAACTACCCCATAGCGTGCGAGCGGATGTAGGGTGGCTGAGGGGTGGTTCGACAGTAGGATGAGTCGTCAGGGGGTAAAAAAGAAAGAGAAAGAGAATAATCGAACGAGATAGAAGAAAAGAGACGTGGAGAAAACGAAAGGTAAAAAGAGGAAGGTATAGCGACTGAAGAAGGTCGAAGAGGGTACGTGATAGAGACGGTCAGAAAGGGAGAGGAAGAATGGAAAAGAGAAAAGACACTCGGGGATGAGGGAGAAAGGTGTAGACTGAAGATGTAGTAAGCTTTGAACCTAGCAAATCCTGCACGTGGAGTTTCCATAGGGTGAGGGCGATGGTGGCGAGATGAAAGTATCGCATGATTGACGTGGGCCTCATCAGCATTTCGGTCTTGCGATTGGTTGGACGAAACTGTCGATCAAACTCCACTCCACGCCCTGTATCTGTTCAATCGTTTCAGGAGTTTAATTCAATCCGGGGATGAATGCGGAGCAATATTTGGATGGCAAATAACTACCTGATATAATAAATTAAACCGTTTACTAAATAAAAATATATGTATGATATAACAAGGAGTAGAATATCTTTTTAAAGAGCTTGTATAAATATTTTTATAATATTTCAAATTATTACAAAAAATTATTTGTATCTTATACTTAAGTATTAATAGACACAAATAAATCTTTAGATTATACAGTATTTTTTGTGCATAGAGATCTTATAGAGTATTAGATATCTTGTTGATAATAATCAAATATTGTTGCTAGTATTTATAAGTAAAATAACAGTATACCATATCACACCACTCTTTGCTAATTTAATTTAGTGACAAGCGTTATTGCTTTGTAACGACAACGACTTTTTCCGGACGAAAATGTCGACATTGCTAGCAAGCTTCTTGTTCTTGCGAGATGATGTAGAGGATGACGAACTGTCACGGGATAGTCAAAATGAAGAGCATGACCTGACAGGATCGTGTGAGAGGTGAGAAAGATAGAGTACGAAAATAGAATCTGTATTTTCGTATATCACGCTGTTAGGTTTGTCTATGGGTTCATCCGGTTGAGACTGCTACACAGCTATGTGAAATAAATTTATAGCCATAAATATTTTACACGAGAATTATTATGTTTTTTGTTAATGTAGGTTTTATTTAAATTCTAACATCAATGTTCTTAATTATTCAAAAGTTAATTCTATGTTTCTCCTAACAATGTAAAAAATTATTGCAGGATAAAAAAATTAAATATCATAGAGTACTACACAATATTAGCAATTAACTATTGGCAATTAAATATTACAGAATAATTGCAATTAATAATAAATAATTAATAAGTCATTCTTTCTACGATTTAGTCATAATTTTATTTTGTAATTTACACAATACGTTCTATTTTTCTATTTTAATGAAAAAATCGTGAAATAATAAAGTTAAAGGAAAAATGTGGAAAAAATGATATTAAAATAATAGGTTTGTTATAATGTAATTTATGTAATAGTTCGTCAATCGTCGTTGAAACAGATGCTGATGTCTGTGACAAAACTGACAATCGTCGCTTCGCGCGTTCTCATCAGTAAGAGGAAGTTGGTATGAGTTTACACTCTAAAATGTAACCTTTTGATGAAACATAACTTCGCAAGTTATGCCATGTTTTTCTATCACTTTTTTTAAAAGCATGTGTTAATCTCAACGCAAACTTTGATGAAACAAAGCTTAACAACTTTCTGAAACAATAGCATTTTTTCAATTTCGCTTATTATTTTGTTTTTTATGTCCTCGCGTACTATATTCCTTCAGTTTTAATATTTCAATTTTTTTATTTGAGATTAGGTTTTAGTTGTAGATAATTAAATTGTAGGTATCAATTGCGATTATTTTTTAATATAATAGATATTACTTTTATATCAAAGGTACGTAATTTCTTTATAGGATAATATTTTTAGTACATTTTTTTACATTTATCTTAAAAAACAATAGTACTGCGAAATAGCACATAAAATAGCGTATAAAATAAACAGTATTGATAGCTTTTATTGCTATTTCGTGTGCTCTGACTTTTGAAATTTTTTGTCATAAAAACAATAACTGTAGAAAATAATGCAATTATTCAATTTGCTTTCCATTCGCTCGAGTCTCTTTCATTTTTTCGTCTCTACTACACTCGAATATTTACGAACAGCTGGTGAAATTCTCATGCCCTCCGCTCCTTCCTTAATTTTTGCATTACTCCATTACACTTACGATTAATTCGCAGACGTTCTCATTGAACGATAACGAGCGATAAAGAAATATGTTCTAGCGAAATACGATCATCAAAGGCAAAGGGAAAAAGTAGATCTTCAATCGAGAAGTAGTTTACACATGCGACCAAGTCGTTCGGATCACAGATTTTCCTCCTGTGTCCGCCTTCGGTGTGCTCTCGTTTTCTCTGGACTGGACCAGGTCGTTTATAGACAGGTGGGAAGGGTCACATGACGGGCGTCTCTGTAATTTGTCTTTTGTTTCCTCCCGCGTCTGAAGGAAGAAAACTTGCGAGGAAGAACAAAGGGCGGAAAGAACCACTATTTCGAACAGCGTGGAGAAGAGAACGATTACCCCTCTTCGTTCCGTTCTCAACTTCTTCCTCTCCTCTCTTTTCACTCTTCTCCATCTTTCCCCATTCTTTCCTCCGTCTCTTCCTTCTCGCTCTTTTTCTCTTTCTCTCATTCTTTTAGTATCGGGAGGAACCTGCGGCGGCGCGACGGCGGCGGCGTCGGCAGCGTAAACGTATGAAAAATGAGTGACGAGAATTTGAAACAAACGAGAAGACAGCCGGCTCCATGTCCGTGCTTTGACGTGTCCGAAACAGGTAGACGGCGGTCAGCATGGAAGGTTACCGTGATCGATAACTTTTTGATCGTTTCGGATGCCTTCCAGCGTTTTAAGCTCGCCGAACATTGCAAATCTGTATTCTAGGGAATGGTCTGCTTTAAAATACCGTAGTTATATAACATCTTATTAAATGTAATATTAATTTTGGACCGTCTCACAATTTTATGGTAGCGAAATAATTTATTTACTATAAAATTTACATCGAACGTATTGCTTCAATAAAATTCTTTTATCAATAATATTTATGTATAAATAGCATATATTATAAAGTTCTACATTTTATTGAATTTGGATTTTACAAATATTTACAAATTGAAAAAATTAATTTTCAATTCCCATATTGTACTTCAAATCAAATTGGCATTGGAAATAGCACTGATACAAAAAAAAATTTACATTATAATGTTCTACGCTTGTTTGAAGCGATGGAAGAATTATTCATCGCGTAAGAATAAAGTAGGTATTTAATGCGCCATTGGGTAATTTGTGGCGGATAAGCGAGGGAAGACTAGAAGGTGGAATCGGCATAAACTGTGGCTCATTACAGATTTACAGCAAGACGTAGGACGGGCAACGGGTGAGGGGCAACGAACAAAACTAAACGCACGGGAACAGAATGAAGGGAGTCCAAGTGGAATGGCTGGCAGAAAGGGCTCTTGGCTGCTTTGGTTTTGGTGGGCTGTCGGGGGTTGCGGCCTCTGCGTTGGATACGAGCTATAATCAATTAACAGTGAGCAAAACAAGAACTGCGGCCGACCACCGACCACGGCCGCAAAATATTTCGTACCTTCCTGTTCCAGTTTGGCTGGAACCCCATCGCTACGTTCAAGTGGCTACCTTACTTGCTGATAGGGTTGTTGTCAGAGGAATTGATTCTAGCATTGTGCCATTATGCGACAATTTAGAACATTGACATTACCAATCAATTTTTTTTTATCATTGATATTTGAATTTAAAGCATTTAATTTCCCAGTTGAGATATTGACGTGAGCTAGTATAATATATGTAAAATAGCGAAATAGGGTCTATATACAGGGTGTTAGTTAAGTATGTTGCCATACTCAACAGAGTAAACTTTGGTTTATTCTGATTCTTTGGTTTATTTCAAGTAAAAAAGTCCATATAAACATATGTCCTAAACGGCTTAGTTTCCGAAATAAAAAAATTTAAACGTGTAATAATAATCTGTTTATTTGAAAGAAATACAGCTTGAACTAATCAAAAACAAAAATAGGCTTCCGATGAAATAAAACAATTAGATGAATTGTTGAAAATGTCCACCTTGCGCCATGATACATCCATCGAGCCTTCTTCTCAAAGATTGACGTGCACGCTCAAAGATACGAGGTGTGTTACGTATTGCCTCGCATAAAGCAACTATTCGATTCCTCAAATTATTCTCATTCTCAATTGGGGTGGTATAAACCAATGATTTCGGATGCCCCCAAAGGAAATAATCCAAAGGATTTAAGTCTGGTGATCTAGGAGACTTTGACTTTGTCGCTTTGTTTACGGTTGCGAATGGTAACTTACATGAAACAAGGCATATTTATGCAGGAAGACATCTTCAACGCAATTTACCGTTTCGTCAAACATTTGTAAACATTCATCTGTATTTCGGAAAGCCGATCTCGGAAAGCCATCTGGATTTCTAAGCCGTTTAGGACTCATGTTTATATGGACTTTTTTACTTGAAATAAATCAAAGAATCGCTTTGTTGAGTATGACAACATATTTAACTAACACCCTGTGTATTTTTTAGGATTATATAAAATATTTTTTTCCCCAAAGTATAAAGTGCTTCTACATAATTCGCAAATCGCAAAACGTAGTTTGCAAACACAAACGCAGAATCAAGATTTGCGTTTGTTTTTTCATTGCCTGCAGTTGGTTTTCGTCCGTGTGTTTCTCGAACTACGTTTTGCGATCTGCGAATTATGTAGAGGCACCCTAAAGGGGATTAATGCAAAGTACTAACTATGCATTTTTTTAATCATAATTTAGCGTTAATTTTAATGAAGAAGAATATAATCATACAATATTTATTATCACGAAGTCTTTGTTTGCTTTGACTCATGATTGTATCATTGTATGTCCACATCTTTCTGACTTGGTTTTTGTCTGGCATAATAGCACTTCAGATATTAGCATAACTTTTTATATAGTTATCTTGTTGTAATGACGGAAAAAGAGAGGAGTCGCCGAGCTAGCTGGCATGTAGAGTAGATAAAAAGAGAAAGGAAAGAGGGGGAGAGGAAGCATGAAAAAGGATAGAAATACAAGAACGGAAGAACGGTGATGGTAGGAAAAAGATATAAAAGCGGCACGAGAAGATTTGCGTGTTCGAAAAAAGTTGTTGGCAACATCGCGAGCCGTCGCCGTCGCCGTACTCGGGCTTGGTGCTGCCGAAGACACGGCAACGTTGGTGCTCCGCACCAACCACCGCGGCGGCCATATTGGACGTGCACAGGTTCGCCAACCTGTGATTATGGTGGGCGAGACGGCGAGCGGCCCTTCGTGCAAGAAAATTGGACGCAGGGATCTCTCCCGTGGTGAAAGAAAGGCAAAACGTACATATGCGTGGTTCAGACTGGCTGGATACGTCAGAAGGCGTTGCCGATGCAACCTGCAATCATTGGGGTGGTACGACGAGGCACATTCGACTTCTTCGTGCACGACTGGCGAACGCGTAGTTTCGCATCTCATGTTGATCCACGCGATAAAAGATTATACATGTATACAAGTATACCTAAAGATGTAAGCCTGGCCTAGCTCATTCAAAAATGTTCGCAAAAGTTGCGGTAGCATGAGTCATAATTGAAGGGATATGATCTTTGATTAATGATATTTCTGGGTTCACTATGTGATAGCATTAGATGTTATTTCGTAATAAAAACTCACGAGATTTCGTGACGACTATTTGGTGTTGACGAGTTCTTGGAAGCTGATGTCGATCGCAATATTATCAATCATCTATAGAACGTGCCATATTGTTTATGATCAATTGTATAAGATATTTTTATTTTGCAAATAATTATGTAACTGTAAGTGAAGAAATTTCCCGTTTTTAACAATTCTCTGCTTAGCGACGGCATACAACATATATGAAAATAATTACGCAACAAGGTTCATATAAGTTACCTAAACAAGTCAATTGGTGTTTTGTTCCGTGATCTGCAATTGTGGTTGGAATTAATTCTGTGATTGCCACATATTCTTGGAATGTGTACGCTTGCGTATTTTGTCGTTTTACATATTTTTTTCTTTATAATTACTAGTGCAACATTATTTAAATACGGCTTACGTAACAAAAAAAAGTCGATTTCTAGCGCATATTATTATTTTTTTTTTCGCGGATTGAATATCAATGTTTAGTAATTTGTAGTGTGTTGCGATAATGACGCGACATTTTTAATATTTCAAGAAAAAATTATGATAGCTAGGAAAAAATTAAAAAGAACGTTTATCCTGAAAATCTCTATGCAAAAAAATGCTTAGTCAAATACAATTGTTGAAATAATATACTTTATGAGAAAAGGTTTCGCTAAAAAATATAGTATTACATCGAAAAAAACGCGACCGAAAAATAACAGTAATACTTAAGATATAGGGTGCTCAGTATGTGAAACGGGAGTGGTCTCCAGGGGGGATGAAAAGCCATCTTTCCATTAGACGCGAGATTGATTTTGTGAGCGCACCTTTTCGTAACGAGATGTCGGTGTGCCCCGATGTTCGAACACTAATGTGATTAAAATAATCCAATGATGATCAAAATACATAATGGTTCCTGATTTTCCCGGATCAATTTCCTCTTGTTTCACCACATAGGCAAATTGGGGGTAAAAATAAATTAGAATTACATATGGACGTTATCCTGGGTTAAGCCAGGGTTTAAATATATTAAAATCTTCGATGAAGTATACTCAATTTATATATATTCCAAGCGTGTGTGCAAACAGTTATAAAATCGATATTAATAACAATTTTATGAATTTCAGTTTCGCTCTCATAAATATTTAAGGCACTTCCATCGCAAGTGCTGTACCCCTCCCAAAGAACAAATTCGAAACTAATTTCACGACAATTTGCGGCACAGAACGTAGAATCCTTCAACAATTTTTTGAATTATGGTTCGAGTTGAGAGATTCTCATTACATCCTCCATTCGCGTTACGACCGCCTTTTTCCGAGCTCTTCTGAGCTTCTTGTCCCGGAGCAAGCTTCTTGTCTACTGCCGTCGTCTCCAACCCCTCTTCCTCCACCTTCTCCTCTGAGACCGAGAAGTCGCAGTCGGATAAAAAGTTTATTTTAATCTTTACAAATTTTAAATCCTTCGCGGCTTACCCCAACGTCCATGTAAACCGTCGCGAGAAAATAAGAGCTAGTCCCTCTACTTCTTTCATCTTCTGCAACCTAACCCCCGTAAATTTTGTATCTTCTTGATATTCTGACCGAATACTTTAAAAACATTTCCTCGTTATGTGACAATGGCAATTTCATATCCAGAAAGTTCTGTTCTGTCCTATTTTGTCTTCTTTAGCGTTTTGTTTTTATTACTGTGTGTTGTGTCGTTTTAAATACTTATATCTTTTTCTTTGTTGTCCTCTGAAATATCATTGTTGAACATTATTGAAAAATATTTTTTACATATTTAAAGTAGTCAGCTCATCAGAAGTGCCAAAAAATTTGCGGGTTATCGTCATATCGCGATCCATTGTTAATGCAATGCTTTAGCCTAAACAATGTTTTAGCTCATCAATGAACGATAGAATCGTAATATTCTCATCATGCCAAAACATTTAATTACAGTATATTTAAGAATGAAATTTTATACAGATAAGGAATAAGTTTTCTACGTTCCAGTAATATATCTTTCTATTAGACATCGCTAATTATCATGTGTTAAGATAACCGGACTCTAAGTTTATATGCTGTAATATCCAATATGTGACCTACTCGCTGTTTGATGGGTAATTACACAGTGAATTCTACAGATAGCACTAATAAGTCGTGCAGGCTGTCCGTTTGACTTGATCAATTTATTGCTTAGTTTGTTCAGTCCGTTATTGTCAGTGAAGCAAAATATAGAACGCTGTAGTATGATGTAATATTTTGTAAGTAACTAATTGCTTTCTATGACTGCCAAGAAATGGTTCTTAATTTTCGTAGTTCATATTATTGTAGCTATGTATTTATATTTTACAACATATTTTTGTAAAAATATTTCGGTCACTATTTTCGGTCATATTTTTGTTACTACATTTTGTTTAGAAATAAGGAGAGGAAACTTTTTGGAAGATAGAACCAATATGGCCAACGTAGACATACTGAGTGTACATCGGTTATTTTTTACTAGGAACTTTTATTATTCTTGACCATAAATTCTAATTATTTGTTAACCATTGTGGAAGAAAGTAAATAAGTAGATAAGTAAATTATTTGGAAAATAGTTTTTTTGTTTGTGTATTCTTACATGTCAATAAGTAAATATATTAATAAACAGATAAACTTATATATAATATATAAAAATAACATTAGATTATTTTAATTTTTATTTCTTTAATATTTTTTATAAAAAAGAGAAAAACATATAATTAGTCCATACATACGTATCCAATGCCACCTAAATGCTATTTTCTCTTAAAATTTTTATGGCATCCTTGTAATTAGTCAAAAAAATTGTAATTAGTCAAAATGTCCTTTTTTTTAATTTTCAGAAATATTTCCTCTTTTGACTCTGATCATCAATTTTCAATTTTAGACTCAGTAAAAAAATTGAAAAAAATCGTATAGCTTTGGTAAACCATATAGAACCCGGTTACCTTATTATTAAAATGTAAATTATACTTTTTATAATGTATTAATAATTTTCAACTAAAGTTTTAAAGTAAATATTATATGCATTATACCTTAAATTTTCGCATATTTTAATATATATCCTTATATTTATTATAACATTGAGATAATTTGACACATCAAATAATTTCGGATACTGAATATCAAGTTTTATTAAATATATATTATTACGTACGTAGACGAGCATTAAATATTAACATGATATTATTACATTGGCTAATGTTGGGGACGATATTCTACGCGTAGTCGTGTTCGAGAGAATGAAGAATCGTACGCGAGTGTTTCGAGTTTCGACGGATCAATATCGTAATTAGGCGTCTGTCAGCTGGGTCGACTCGTTTGAAAAGAGAAGTATATGGTCGATAACCATGAGCAATTTGTGCACACCGTTTTCTTTCCTAAGTTGTGTTTATAGGCATATTTGGCCATCATCTATATCAAACATTACTGTTTTCTTAATTAAATATAAGCTACATAAAAACTTTTTCAAGTAATATAGCAGTTTTTATTGAAATAAATTCTAATTGAAAACTCATCTTGTAAAAAAAATTTATACATCTAAT